TATTATAATGATACCTTAAAGTGGTCTGTTTTTCTTTTATATATATATATATATATATATATATATATATATATATATATACAGGTTGTCTCAAAATGTATACAATCTTTGAATCCTTATAACTTATTCAATTTATGTATTTTGACTTATAAATAAGTTTAATACATGAGAAAGAATACACATTTAAAGAATTTGAGAGTAAAATATACAAAAAACATAGAAAATTAACATTAATAAGATAAAAGCTAGTTGCGGCAATGGGAGAATGTTCATATAATGATAAGTTCACATCAAGTTCTCAAACTGGTTGCCGTTCTGTTCGATACACTTTTCATATCTTGAAGAAAGAGACCTACAAATGTCCAGTATCATTTCCTCTGGTATTTGAGCACATTCTTCTTCAATTGCTACTCTCAATTCAGCAATTGTTTCAGGGTTCCTGCTGTAAACTTTGTCTTTTCGAAACCCCACAAAAAAGAAATCCAAGGGTGCCAAATCTGGTGATCTAGGTGGGGATTCAACTGTCCCTCTTCTTCCAATCCATCTGTTTTGCATATTTTTATCTATATAAGTTCTCACATCACGGTAATGCATTATTAACTATTAATATTTAAAGAGTGTATATATTATTTTGGGATACCCTGTATAAAGAGAAAATTTAGTTTGATTTGATTAATTCGGGTCTCTTTTTATTTTTATTTTCTTTTTTGATTATGAAGCCTTTACAGGTTATTTAAAGCCGGAAAACTTTTAGATTGTATGAATTTTTTTGAGATAATAATGGTTTAGTGATACAAGTCTTACTAATTAATCCACAGCTGGGTGGGGAGTAGAGGCGGATTGATACGTTTGCTAATGGTATCTGTGCATAAGTGAATATAACGAACCGAGAGGCAATTAGAACTCGGCTCTCCGATTATCAATTTCGAGCTATTACACCATCCGCACATGCAAGCTTACAACACCTGTTATTCCCAAGCTGTCGCCCATCTAGTTTTTGACCAGGTTCGACGTTGCTTAACTTCAGTGATCGTATGGGACGTGATGTGGTTGTAAGCCTGAAAAAAATGGGGAAGGGAAATAAAACGTGCTTCCAGAAAGAGAAAGGAAAATGAGAAAGAGAGAGAGAGAGAGAGAGAGAGAGAGAAGAGAGGAATAACATGATATAAATAGAGAATGATAAAAGAGCGGGAAATAGTAACTTTCGTACAGAAAGAGTAAAGGAAAGAGAAAAAGAGAGAGAAAGAAGAGAATGGACTTGATATTAATAGAGAGTGAAAAAAGAGCGGGAAATAGTATCTTTCGTACAGAAAGAGTAAAGGAAAGAGAAAAAGAGAGAGAAAGAAGAGAATGGACTTGTTATAAATAGAGAGTGAAAAAAGAGCGGGAAATAGTAACTTTCGTACAGAGAGAAAAGGAAAGAGAAAAAGAGAGAGAAAGAAGAGAATGGACTTGATATAAATAGAGAGTGAAAAAAGAGCGGGAAATAGTAACTTTCCTACAGAAAGAGTAAAAGGAAAGAGAACAAGAGAGAAAAAAGGGAGAATGTACATGATATAAACAGAGAGTGAAAAAAAAAGAGCGGGAAATAGAAGCGGGCGTACAGAAAAAGAAAAGGAAAAAGAAAGGGGAGAATAGAATTGATATAAATAGAGAGTGAAAAAAAAAAGCACGGGCAATAGAAACATGCGTACTGATAAAGAAAAGGAATAATGAGAAAAAGGTCGGGAAGAAGCATGGTATAGAGAGAATGAAAACAGACAGAGGAAATAGAAACGAACATACCGAAAGAGTAAAGGAAGGAAAGAAAAAAAAAAAAAAGGAGCTGATACAACGAGAGGGTGAAAAAAAGAGAGGCGAAAGAGAAACGTACATGCATGGAGACAGAAAGGGATTGAAAGAAGAAAAGAAAGAAATGTTAGACGACAAAGCCCGAGAAGCCATGTTTTCAATTAAATGGACGTGAGTCGAAGAAGTAAAAGAATCCATATTTTTATTTCGAATTTAATCGTGTCTTGTCTAATCTTTAAATTACATTCAAATATAATCTTAAAATTCTGGTCAAGTAAATTTTCTTATTTCATTTTATTTGATTGTCTTCTTAATGCTTTTACTTCCAATTTCAACTTTATTCATAAAATTGCTCGGAGGAAAATCTAATGAGATCTATTTAGCAAGATACTTCGACCGAATAGGACATCGTCTCTCAACAATGATGACAATCGGTAGAAGGTGATGACTACAATTCCTAATTTAAATTTGCCCAGGGGATATAAATACACTTATTCTTTAGAGTGGGACCATGCGACTACCCGAGCGACGTGGTAGCAAAACCCCCTGTAAACACGCGTGTGAATGAAGATACACGCTTGCCCAAATAAGACTTGTTTGATTGATGAGATAATTACGAGATTTTCACCGCCAAGTCTGGCAGAGGTTCATACCCAGAAACAAGTCGATATTTCGAATGCTGATTTTCAAAGCCAGCAAAAAAATCTCTCCCTACAGGACTTAATCATCGTCATGATCCTAACCCTGTTCCCAATTTTTCCAGTGACATAGTCTCGTTACTTCTTGTATACCATAACCTGCGCAAGAAGACCTGACGGAGCCCATCCCTCTCCAGATCAAACCACAGCCGACGACATCCAATATGAAGGATCAACTTGGTCAAGGAAATGTGTCCATTGATTCCATCGGGAGAAACATCCACCCTGACCATTGACTTCAGTTTATGAAGCCGTCTACACAGCGATGTCGCGTCATTCGCCGCACTGGGTTTTATATACCGCGCTATAGAGCACCAGTCTATCACATTGTGCGAGATAGAATCTTGGTCCTCCAAGAAGTTTCATCCATCCTTCGATAAAATTTGTTTTTCATCCTGTTCGTTCTTTAGCAAAACCCTTTCACCAGAAAAGACCAATAGATAAACCGGTTTACTCGCCTATGACAATTTCTTACAGGGTACAGCTTAATGCTCCTCAAGTTTGGTTATGAAAAACACACACACACACACACACACACACACACACACACACACACACACATATATATATATATATATATATATATATATATATATATATATATATATATATATATATATATATATGTAAGCAAATGTATGGATATAGATCCGACAGTATGAAGAAAAATATGCGGAAAAAAACAAACAAAAATCCTAATATGCGATTATGCTGTTTTAATGTTTAATGTCAACGTCGGACGTTTCGGTCTAATAGACCATCTTCAGGACATATTCATAAAACATAATTAACATAGACCATATACAATTCAACATGAAAAAGACGATGGACATAAAAGCAAAACCAATTCAAACAGATAACTGAAATCTTTTATAAGATCAGCGCTCCGTTTAAATATGATCACGTCGTCGTCACGTGGGCGATGTTGTGAAAACGTATTCCTAAAATTTGAGTATTTTGAATGAAAAACGAAAAGAATTTTATTTTTGATTTAAAACTTATATGTACGTTTGTCGAGCATTAATCTTGCTAAAAAAGGGGAAATATTAAAGAAGCCAGGTCTAATGTTCACCGTGCGTGAGATAGATATTATGCCTGCTTCATAAATCCGCCTAAGATTTTTATTATGAAAATATTTTAAAATCTTCACGGAATCAAAATCGAAATTATGATCTGCTTTAGTTGTGTGTACAACTAAAACATTGTTTAAATTTCCGAGGCGAATATCTCGTTTATGTTCGAAAACACGAGATTTTACGGACCTACATGTTTCACCCACATATTTTAAGTGACAGTTGTTGCATGAGATTTGGTAGATGAAAGCATCGGATGTAATATGTTGTTTGCTGGTGTTATTTAATAAACTACGGATAGTTCTAGTAGGTAATATTGCAGTTTTGATTTTTAACGCATTTAAATTATTGGAGATACGTTCGGTCAAATGGTTATTTGGTAGAAAGATGCGACCAAAAGAAAGATGATTTTTGTTTGTCTTTTCAGTATATTTTTTCATATATATATATATATATATATATATATATATATATATATATATATATATATATATACACTTTACGATTGTGCAGAAATATGTGCTAATTTGGTTCGCAAAAATAGTAAAAATATATAGGCTCGCCTATCGTCCGGTAGATTGAAAAAAAATAAATAAAAATGCCAAATATATTGTAACGTAAACCTTAATAAGTTAAAATAAACCAGGCAGTATTAACTTGACAGCTTAAAAGAAAGTCAGTGTAGCCAGACAGAAATCTTAAACCCCCATGCAAACTTAACCGACTTTAAATTTGCCACACAAACATGCACTTGCTTTCTTCATTCGTAAGAAAGCCAACACCCACTTAATAAAAAAAAATGGGAATTCTCTTGACACTACCAGCTTAACTTAAAAATAGAGGAAATACAATTTTTCGGAAGTTATTCTTCGCATCGTTTGAGAATGGAAACAAGATCCATATTTTAAGTTTAACTTTTGAAGTTAAAATTTAAGATTTAAGTTAGTAATTTCTGTGTCGTGATGGAGACATATTTTGTTTTAAATAACTATATTATACTCTACTTTGTATCAAGTACTGTTTCTTTTTTAAATAAAAATAAATGCTAAAAACTTTGGATTATAAATTTGACTGTTCTTTCCTACTATTTGATATATATATATATATATATATATATATATATATATATATATATTGTGTATATTTAGGCAGAAATGTTTCATTGATGCATGTTTCATTAAATAATATAGACAAGTATTGTCTATTTATTTTAAGTAACTTCCTTTTATATTGTCTGATAAGCTTAATAACATTATCATTGAAAAACAAAAGGATATCATCATATTGATACATGTTTAAATCCAATCTTATCTTTCGGCTTACATATCAAAGATGACATTTATGATAGTCTGTTTTTTGTTGATAAAATAGGAGATAGATATATATTGAAGTATGAAAAATAGGAGATAGATACATATTGAAAAATAGGAGATATATATTAAAAATTGATAGATATTTGAACAAACTGAAATAGATAGATAGATAGATAGATAGATAGATAGATAGATAGATAGATAGATAGATAGATAGATATGAACAGACTGAAATAGATATATATATATATATATATATATATATATATATATATATATATATATATATAATCGACTCTCCCGTCGCGTTCGACGTATGAGGGTCAGGCCGATAAGTCCCCAGGAAACCGACATCCCGACACCGGCACATGAGATTTGTTTATAGTTGTGAAGGCCTTGTGCAGGACCAGCCACACTTTTGGAGGGACGGACGAAACCTGGTGCACCGAATGCATGCCACAAGGTTCCCAAACGACCCTCCGCAGGTTTTGAATTCAGAGTTGTCCTTCTCGAGACCAGTTGCCATCGAAGGCTATAGAACCCAGTCTGTCCTGCTATTTTACCCATAGCTGGAGGGAGATGAAGAGGATACATACCTTTCCCAAGGGTATTAGGTATATATATATATATATATATATATATATATATATATATATAGTGCGCAGGTATGCAGAAAATAGAAAAGAATACGTTGGGTGCATAATTCGGAGATCCTTAGTATTTTGTTTTTATTTTTAAGAAGACAGTGCTCAATACAGAAGTAGAGTTTATATTATAATATTTTATTGTTTAAAAATAGGATTCATTCGCTACATAAGAGTTCTCATGTTTCAAAAACGAGAGCCGAAACCATCCAAATAATTCTTAAAATTAAGTTGAAATTGAGGTGTTTAGTCCCCTTTCATTTTAGTCCCGAAATTTTAGGAATATTAGGTTCTTAAATTTCGCCTGAAGATGAAACGGGACCCAACACCTTGATTGAACTTAATTTTAAGAATTATTTGAATGGTTTCGGCTCTCGTTTTTGAAACATAAGAACTCTTATGTAGCGAAGGAATCATATTTTTAAACAAAAAATATTATAATACATTATATATATATATATATATATATATAGATAGATAGATAGATAGATAGATAGGAACCGACTGAGATAGATATATATCGAAAAGTGATGGATAAATAGATAGATAGATATGAATAGACTGAAATACATATCGAAAAGCAATATATATATGTGTGTGTGTGTGTAGATAGATAGATAGATAGATAGATAGATAGATAGATAGATAGATATGACCCGATTGAGAGATATATTTCGAAAAGTGATAGACAGATACATAGATATGAACAGACTGATAGATATCACAAAGTGATAGATAGATAGATAGATAGATAGATAGATAGATAGATAGATAGATAGATAGATTAATTAATTGTAGTCCTCTTTAAAACAATCATTTGAATCTCCATCCGTCATTTTGAAATATTTAAAATACAAAACTCTTCGAAATGACCCCACCTCCCGAGTTTGCGTTTGTTTCCAGAACTCCGCCCAGAAATGTAGATAATGCGAATTGTTCGCCTGGCAGATCAAAAAAACACATAACGTCACCGTCTTAACGAGAATTTCTTTTTAATCTAATAAACCTTTCATTGGAATTCATCCCTACATCAGTTCTCGTTCACGAATAGCAGTACCAAAAATTGTTTTTCTTACGTTGCTCCAAACGACCCGATAAAGTAGATGAAATAGAAACAAAAATACGAAAGAAAGGAAAAAAGTGACGTCAAACGTGGGACAAAAGCACTAAAGTATAATATGAAAGAAAAGAAGAAAAAAAAAAACGAAAACACATAGAAGTTATGGACGCAGATGAAGCAACAAGCATGGTTGCCTCCCCTTCCACAAAATGGCGGAAATACACGCGCACATCATTGTGGCTAAACGACTTCTGGAGACAAAAGTGGCAAATGTGAAAAGAAAAATGAACCATTTTCTTTCGATTTTTTCTTTGGCGGCGGAAGTAGCGGTCATTTGTGCAAGTGCACCGGGAAACAGGTCGTTTCGTCTAAAATGTTGAGTCTTTCTCGAATCTAGATGAGATTTCGGGCGATTTAATCAATCACTGAAACAATAAAATTACCTCAATCTTTTCAGATCTATCTATCTCTCTATCTATCTATATATATATCTTCTATATTCTATCTATCTATCTATCTCTTCTATATTCTATATATATATATATATATATATATATATATATATATATATATATATATTCTACTCTCTATATATATCATATATATATAAAGAAATATAGTCTTAAGGTGTGCTATATTTATGGGATAAAGTGCCCAATATCAGAGATAGAACATGGTGTGAACATTGATCAACACTTAGTTTCATGCTATATGCAATCGTCAGGCCTGATGATTGCATATAGCATGAAACAGACTGTCGCCTCTAAGTGTTGACTTCTATGTTCACTTTTATATATCATATATATATATATATATAATCTATCTCTCACTATATACATATATATATATATATATTTTATATTTATATATATATATTTCTACCTCTCTCTCTCTCTCTCTCTCTCTCTCTCTCTATATATATATATATATATATATATATATATATATATATATATATCTCTCTATATATATATATATATATATATATATATATTTTATGCGTATCTATCTTATTGTACATTAAAATTTGTCAGATGCAGCAATCTAAATTTCTTTCTCCTCTATTTTCCAAACTATCCCCCCTTTCTCTCTCTCTTTCTGTTTCTTTACACACACGCACATATAAAGCTATATAAATTCAGATGTATCTATATATCAATATGTATCATTATTATCTGCCGCATATAGCATATATATGTACATATAGTATATCAAACTTCGTATATATATATATATATATATATATATATATATATATATATATATATATATATATATGCATGTTTCATTAATAACGACAGACAAGGTACTACCGTTAAGCTTTTTATTTAATTTTTTTGTGCTCGATCAAGAGCTGTCTAAGAATCCGTGTTATTGTTGTGTTGGTGAATTCAAACGTTTTCTTTTGCTTTCTTGATACAGTTCTGTACGTTTGCTTGGGAGATTACTAATTCTGTTATGAAGGTTGATATAGAGAAAAAAAACCTGGACGTAGATTAATATTGGGGTAATATTCAATGGCAGCACTCTCGAGGATTTTCTTTCTGAGTGAATTGTTTTCTTTTTTTATGACATTTAGATTGTAAGAATTTTTATGAGATAATAATGGTTTAGTGATACAAGTCTTACTAATTAATCCATAGCTGGGTGGGGAGTTGAGGCGGATTGATACGTTTGCAAATGGTATCTGTGCGTAAGTGAATATAACTAACCCAGAGGCAATTAGAACTCGGCTCTCCGATTATCAATTCCGAGCTATTACACCATCTGCATATCCAACCTTACAACACCTGTTATTCCCAAGCTGTCACCCATATAGTTTTTGACCAGGTTCGACGTTGCTTAACTTCACTGATCGTACTGGACATGATGTGGTTGTAAGCCAGATGGGGAGGGGGAAATAAAACGTGCTTCCAGAAAGAGAAAAGGAAAATGAGAAAGAAAGAGAGAGAGAGAGAGAGACATTTTTTTATGACTGAAGCATTTATAAAATCAAAATTATGGTTGAATTTATTTCTATGTATAACTAGTGCACTACTTTAGTTGTTATTTTGAGGCCTCTTTTGTGCTCATAGATGCATTTTTTTTAAATTGACAAGCAAGAACGCCGCTGAGAGGAGATTCCATTGGCAAACCAAATTTTTGTCTGTAAAATTGGTTATCAAATGTAAAGAAACTCAGCTTGTTGATTAGCTGGCATATTTTTTTGATTTTATGTGTAGGTAGAGGTAATTTAATTTAATTTTTACTTTTGTTATGTTTTTTTTTTCTCAAAGGACTTCTTGCTTGTCTATTTTTAGAGTTTAGAAAAAAAAGACCCATTCAAAAACATTCTCCTCCAAACTAGCATACTTAAAAAATACATTTTACCGGTGAATATTAATATGTATATTTAATAATATATATATATATATATATATATATATATATATATATATATATATAGAGAGAGATATATATATTATATATATATATATGTATCTGTCTATCTCTATATATATATATATATATATATATATATATATATATATATAAAACCAGCATCAATTATTATATCTATATATCACTATTTCTTTTGTATTACATCCCATAATTTCTTTTCTTCATGTTTAATATCTTCTGCTTCTGTGTTATTATTTCTTTTCTTTCTTTCTTTTTTTCTTTCACATTAAACTTTATTTTGCTTTTTTTTTTCTTTTAAACTTTACATTAAACTTTATTTTGCTTTTTTTGCTTTTCTTTCACATTAAACTTTATTTTGCTTTTTTCTTTCTTTCACATTAAACTTTATTTTGCTTTTTTTTTCTTTCACATTAAACTTTATTTTTGCTTTTTTTCTTCTCATTAAAGTTTATTTAGCTCTTTCTTTCACATTAAACTTTATTTTTTTGCTTTTTCTTTCTTTCACATTAAACTTTATTTTGCTTTTTCTTTCTTTCACATTAAACTTTATTTTGCTTTTTTTTTCACATTAAACTTTTATTTTGCACATTTTCTCATTAAAATTTATTTTTTTCTTTTTTTTTTGCTTTCATTAAAAACTTTATTTTGCTTTTTTCTTTCTTTCACATTAAACTTTATTTTGCTTTTTCTTTTTTCACATTAAACTTTATTTTGCTTTTTCTTTTCTTCACATTAAACTTTATTTTGCTTTTTTCTTTCTTTCACATTAAACTTTATTTTGCTTTTTCTTTCTTTCACATTAAACTTTATTTTGCTTTTTCTTTCTCATTAAAGTTTATTTTGCTCTTTCTTTCACATTAAACTTTATTTTGCTTTTTCTTTCTTTCACATTAAACTTTATTTTGCTTTTTCTTTCTTTCACATTAAACTTTATTTTGCTTTTTCTTTCTTTCACATTAAACTTTATTTTGCTTTTTCTTTCTCATTAAAGTTTATTTTGCTCTTTCTTTCACATTAAACTTTATTTTGCTTTTTCTTTCTTTCACATTAAACTTTATTTTGCTTTTTTTTTCTTTCACATTAAACTTTATTTTGCTTTTTCTTTCTTTCACATTAAACTTTATTTTTGCTTTTCTTTCTCATTAAAGTTTATTTTGCTCTTTCTTTCACATTAAACTTTATTTTGCTTTTTCTTTCTTTCACATTAAACTTTATTTTGCTTTTTCTTTCTTTCACATTAAACTTTATTTTGCTTTTTCTTTCTTTCACATTAAACTTTATTTTGCTTTTTCTTTCTTTCACATTAAACTTTATTTTTGCTTTTTTTCTTTTTCACATTAAACTTTATTTTGCTTTTTTCTTTTCTTTCACATTAAACTTTATTTTGCTTTTTCTTTCTCTTTCAAATTTAACTTTATTTTGCTTTTTTTTGCTTTTTTTTCTTTCACATTAAACTTTATTTTGCTTTTTTCTTTCTCATTAAAACTTATTTTGCTTTTTCTTTCTTTCACATTAAACTTTATTTTGCTTTTTTTATTTCTTTCATTAAACTTTATTTTGCTTTTTTTTTTTTTTCACATTAAACTTTATTTTGCTTTTTCTTTCTTTCACATTAAACTTTATTTTGCTTTTTCTTTCTTTCACATTAAACTTTATTTTGCTTTTTCTTTCTTTCACATTAAAGTTTATATTGCTCTTTCTTTCACATTAAAGTTTATTTTGTTCTTTCTCTCTTTTTTCACATTAAATTTTATTTTTTCTTTCTTTTCTTCTTTCTCATTAAATTTTAAATACTCTTTCCTTATTTTTCCCTTTTAATTTCTAACTTGAAAATTATTTTTTCATTCTTTTCTTCTCTTGTTCCTGCTTTTTTTCATACTTCGTGATTTTTACTTGCTTTCTTCTTTTTTTTTTTTGGCATTCGCCTTACTCTTTGTCTTTCTTTTTTTTTTTTGTTCTTTCTTTTATTCGCATAAATATCCTTCGTTTCTTTCTTTCTTCATGTATTTCTTTCTTTCTTTCATTCGTTCTTTCTTTCACAGATATCTTTCTTCTCCTTATCTTTATTTCATTCATTGTTTATTTATTTATTTCGCATAGACATCCTTCTACTTATCTTTCTTTCATTCCTTCTCTCCTTCATTCTTTCTTTCATATAAATATGTTTCTTCTCTTCTCTTTCTTTCATTCTTTCTTTCTTTCTGTCGTTCTTTCTTTCTTTCGTATAAATATCCATCTTCTTATCTTTCCTTCCTTTTCCTTTCTTTCTTTCACGTAGACATCCTTCTTCTTCATATCTTTTCAGAATTCTTTCTTTTTTTTCGTTCTTTCTATGTGTTTTCCTCTTCTTTATGTCTTCCCTGTTTTCTTTCTTTTTAACAGAACATTTGTTCGTTCTTTGCCATGTCTTCTTCATAATTCTTCATTTTCTTTTATTTAATCTTCAGTTTGAACATCTCACCTCTTAATTCTTCCTTGTCAGTAAATTCCTTTCTTCATTGGTTAATTTCTGCCTTCTTTCTAAATTCGCTCCGCCATTTTCTTTTTCCAATTCTCCAGTCTTCAGTTTTCCTACAGCTAGATTAAAGATCCATCAAATTTCCAAAATAAAATTCTGCCCGCGCCCAACTTGATTTCTTTTTCTTTTGTGTGTGTGTATGTGTGTTTTATATATATATATATATATATATATATTTTTACCGCATCTCCTCTACACCTTTTGCCCTCCATCCTCGTCAAACCATTTATTCGACCTCCTCCAGAAGCCGAGTCTTTGAGACTCGTTTTCTGATTATATGATAGAAATGGCGCTGGGCAATTTCACCCAATTTATCGTAACCTTTTGTTTGAACCGAAATTTTGAAACCACGAATATGATTGGTCAGTTTTGGGAGTCAAATAAAAAAAAAAAAACAACAAAAAAAAAAAGACGGCAAGGAAAAGAGAAAGAAATTTAGCGTAGAAAGAAAGAAAGAAAGAAAGAAAGAAAGAAAGAAAAGAAAGAAAGAAAAGAGAAAATAATCAGGAAAAAAGAAACCCATTTAGTTTCGGGCATGAACATTTACATATATTTGTACCGTCGAAAACAACTTACACGCAGTCAAATACAAGTACACCATGCTTATATATGCACACATATTGCAGTGGTTTAATATATTAATACACGCGTATATATATACACATATATTCACAGTCATATATATATATATATATATATATATATATATATATATATATATATATATATATATAATTCTTTTCTCTTTTTTTTTTTCGTTTTTTTTCGATTTTTCATTCTATACCTTTGTTACAAAAATTTATTCATATATTCATTCTTTATTCACCTTCTTTTTGACTTTCTTTCACTTATTTTTTCATAAATTTCTTCATTTTTTTTTTATTTTTTTTTCTTCATGTTTTTCATTTTCTATTTTATCTCATATGTTCATCTATTTCTCCATTTATTTTCTATCTATCTATCTATCTATCTATCTATCTATCTATCTATCTATCTATCTATCTCGACATGTATCTACCTAAATTTCCTCGTTATATATCTATATATGTGTCTATTTTGTCTCTGTTCAAGATCTATCGAGTAATATACAGTAGCATCCAAAACTAAGGGACAAAATTTTAAAACCTAATATTTGTTAGAAATAACAACTGTGAAAAGCTGAAATTTTGACAACTGGTAGTCGTCATCATCCATAATAACATACTAAAATTTTAATCATTTGCAAAGGATAGAAAAAGAATTATAACAATTATTTATTTATTTTCGAAATAGGATCGTCCAAAAGTAAGGGATAAAATTGACAAAAACAATGTAAACAGTATGCTATATTCAAATTTTTTGATTTCCTCTAAAGAATAAGTCTTACTTAGTCATTTGTAAACGTTGCATCAGCCGGCACCATGGCGAAACGCCAAAAACTTGATTACTCTGTGAGACAAGCTATTGTGAAGCTACACAAGGAAAAGCACACCATTAGAGAGATTTCAGAGAAAGTGAAACGTTCCAAGAGTGTTGTAGGCAGGGTTGTTAAATCCTACAATGATACTGGTAAAATAGTTAGTGCTTTTAAAACCGGCAGACCCCGCAAAACTTCGGCAAGAGAAGATCGACTAATGCAGCGTATGTCATTAAAGGACCGTTTTAAGTCTTGCACAGAAATTAAAAGGGTTATGAATAGTACCTCATGTGCTAATGTGTCAAGACAGACTGTTTGTAGACGACTGCAAGAAATAGGGCTGTTTAATCGAACCCCAGGGAAGAAACCACTTGTTAGTTCGAAGAATAAGAAGAGATTAGAGTTTGCAAACAGGTATGTAATTTGGACATATGAAAATTGGGAAAAGTATTTTTCAGTGATGAAAGCAAGTTTAATTTATTTGGAAATGATGAAAAAAACAATGTAAAGAGACGTATTGGTGAAAGATTAAGTGCAAAGTGTACTATGAAAACTGTCAAGTTTGGGGGCGGAAGCGTCATGGTATTTGGAATGTTTTCTAGCCAAGGTACAACGCCTCTAGTCCGGTTACAAACACGTGTAAACGCGCAGATCTATAAAACATTGTTCAAGATCATGTTGTGCCAATCATACAGAATTCAGGTTTCGATAGGGCTACCTTTATGCATGTCACAAGGCAAAGGTGGTAATGAGTTACCTTAGCGAGCAAGATTTAGAAATTATGGATTGGCCACCGCAAAGTCCTGATTTAAATCCAATAGAAAATCTTTGGAAGACCTTAGGAGTGAAAGTTATGGAAAGAAATCCCACTAACACGGAGGATTTGTGGGTGAAGCTTCAAGAAGAATGGTCTAAAATTAGTATCGAGGATTGTCAAGAACTGATTCGTTCTTGTAGTCGAAGATGTGCAGCTGTCATTGAGAGCAAGGGCTTATTTACTAAATATTGATTGTACATGTATTTTTATTGTTTTTTTGCCGTTTACATTATTTTTCTCAATTTTGTCCCTTACTTTTGGACGTTCCAAATTTGAAAATAAATAAATAATTTTTATAATTCTTTTTCTATCCTTTGCAAATGATTCAAATTTTAGTATGTTATTATGGATGATAACGACTACCAGTTTTCAAAATTTCAGCTTTTCACAGTTGTTATTTCTAACAAATATTAGGTTTTAAAATTTTGTCCCTTATTTTGTCCCTTGTTTATATTTTATACGCTATATGTATATATATATATATATATATATATATATATATATATATATATATATATACCAATGCATTCAGTCATGGACATACATAAACTTTATATATATATATATATATATATATATATATATATATATATATAGATGTAAATACCATATATGTTAATGCAGATGCTATGTAGAATATTATATACATATATGTGTGTGTGTGTGTGCGGATGGATGGCTGCTGAGAATAGGTGGATACATGCCTTTAACCAATGTTATTTGCACGTAAGTAAATATTTATTAACAATTCCGCGACATTCTCCATTATACCGTCGTCATAAACAAGCTAACAGCACATGGTATTCCCAAGCTGTCACCTATTTATATTACTGACCAGGCTTGACAGTGCTTACCTTCGGTTATCGTACGGGAACAGGAATTTTCAACGTGATCTGACCGTAGGCTTAGCTAGCGAGATAGATATGAAAAAAAAATGAATTATATGAAGATAGATAGATAGATAGATAGATAGATAGATAGATAGATAGATAGATAGACATGAAAAAGTGAAGTAGAAAGAAAGAAAGAAAGAAAGAAATGAACGGAGATAGAAATGAACAATGTGGCATAGATAGATAGATAGATAGATAGATAGATAGATAGATAGATAGATAAAAATGAACAGATTGAGATAGAAATGGACAAAGTGAGATAGATAGATAGATAGATAGATAGATAGATAGATAGATAGATAGATAGATAGATAGATAGATATAAAAAAAAATCAAAAGGAGGTATATAGATCTTTTTAATGTTTTCATCCCCAAGGAGGCTTCAGAGATTGAAAGTTAGAGAAATGACTGGGTTATAGGGGGTGATTGAGGACAGGATGTCAGATGAACGGGTTTCAAGACGACAGAAGATGGCGTTTGATGTTGCATTTAAATTAGTTTTCAACGGAAGCAAGTAAACGGGAACTGTCGGTAAGTACGAGAAAAGAATCTCTTGCAGTTGAAGCGGCCGTTACATTTAACTATTTCAACAGCAAATGGGTGTGGTCTAGATATCAAACTAGTAGCACGCTTAAATTCATGTCGTCGGGGCACCAGGCGAAAAAGCTGTTCAGGCCAGATTTGTTTGTTTGTTTGTTTTGTTTCACGGCATATCAACCTCAATGTGTCATTTATTGCCGACATTTTTTTTCTGGTAATATTTTTTGCATTATTTACATTATTCGGACTGTTGTCTTCATCTTTGTCACCATATTTATTACAACGTTTCGGCCGTTGTACGATCGTGCCTTCTTCAGATGGTTGGAATGTTGAACTGAACCCTTTATTTCGCTCACTGGGATAGACTGTTCTATTTGATGCACAAAAATGAGGACAATAGTACGAATAATTTAAATAATGTACATAATGCATCATCTCAGAAATATAGACAGATACTGAAAAGCCGAAACGTTGTGATAAATATGGCGACAAAGATGAGGACAATAGTCCGAATAATGTAAATAATGTACATAATACCTCATCACAAATATAGAAGAAATATAGACAGAAACATTGAATAAATATGGCGACAAAGATGAGGACAATAGTCCGAATAATGTAAATAATGTACATAATACCTCATCACAGAAATATAGACAGATACAGAAGGGCCGAAACATTGTAATAAATATGGCGACAAAGATGAGGACAATAGTCCGAATAATGTAAATAATGTACATAATACCTCATCTCGGAAATATAGACAGGTAATATTTTTGTTTTATTTTCGTTTTTAACACGCTGCATAAGTCGTAATTTATTTATTTTAATCGAAAAAACAATGTAAATTTCTAATTATTTTAAGGTTGCATCTGTTTTTTAAATTTATTATTTTATTTTTATTTATTTATTTTTTCTTTACTAACAGTAATTATCAGTTGAGGAGATTAAACGTGAAAAAAAGTTTTAAAAAATGTAAAAAAAAAAAAAAATTCGGAAAACACATAATTACCTTCCGATTATCCGACAAGTATCCACATAAAAAGAAAGAAAAAGTAAAGAATCCCCTGTAAACAACTTAAATAGAGCTGACACCATTGCGATTGGCAGTTGGTCAAACTTCTAATCAAATGCGTGATAGAGGGTTCTGGTTTGCCTTATATAAGTCAGTGTCTGCAGGCTGTAAATTTAGAGGGGGGGGATCAGTGACTGATCAGCTCTGATGGGGTCGATTTCGTGAGTGGAGTATGATGTTTGAAAGACCCGAAACTACCCAGTGACCCAATTCAGAACATCACTGACGACGCCCCCTAGCGCTAAAGATCGTCTATTCAAAGTAATATTTCTGTTAATATTTTTTCCTCAAAAATGTATAGCTGGTAATATTATTTTTTCAAAAACGTTTTGTTGGTAATAGTTTTTTTTCCAAAAAGATATTGCTGGTAATATTTTTTTTCCTTCAAAAATTTATTTCTCGTAATAACTTTTTACAAAGTATTTCTGGTATTAAAACCTATATTTACACTTTTATGATATTTTACATCAGTTTCTGGGTCAACTATTTGCCCATAGCTGGGACCTTAACAGGTGCTACCACTCTGGGTCCTCGAAGCTTCCTGATCAGAGGCTTTGCTGTTGGACGTAGTTTATCGTCTTACCCTGGACGCAGATGTAGTTTATCGTCATACCCAGGAAGCCTTCAGAGCAGTAGCCATGGAAATATTTGTAGAAAAGACAGAGGGAAGTCACGTCACGTCGGTGAGAAAGTGACTGAAATAGATAGATAGATAGATAGATAGATAGATAGATAGATAGATAGATAGATAGATAGATAGATAGATGAAAATGAAAACTATGGAGAAATAAAGTGAAATAAATAAGAAAGAACGATGGAAAGAAATAAACAAAATCTGAATCAATTTAATAAAAATTATAGTGGATAAAGGCAAAATGGAAGAAGAAAAAACGAAGAAAACGGTAATGATATGAAAAGGAAAGTAAGAAAGAAAGATAGAAAGAATGAATGAATGAATGACTTGAAGATCGATTGAAGGAGAAAAATGAATAAACATTTGAATGGGAATGCAAATATAAATTTTTTAAAAATGCCCACTAAAACAGAATAAAAGCTAAATGAAAGAAAGGCAGAAAAAGACTTCATACAAAATGAAAAAATAATAATTTAAGAACAAAAATCGAGAATGAAAGCAAAGAAACACGAAGAAAAAGAACTGAAAAAAATAGAATGAAGATACACGAATGATATATCGAAAAAAAAGATCATGACAAGTAAATTGAAGAAAGTAAACAAGAAAAAAAGAAATTATAAAGTGCGAAATCAATAAACAAGTGAACAGTTAAAGAAAGAATGAACGAAAATAATTAAAAATGAAATAAATTTGAAGTTAAAGATAGAGGAAAGAATGAAAATGAAAATAAACGTGAAATCGATTAAGATTGAAAGAAAGAAAAAAAGAAATGCAGAAAGAAAGAAAGAAAGAAACAAAGAAACAAAGAAAGAAAGGAAGAAAGAAAGAAAGAAAGAAAGAAAGAAAGGAAGAAAGAAAGGAAGAATGAAAGGATGAAAGAAAGGATGAAAGAAAGAATTAGATTTGAAAGTAAAGTTAGATGAAAGAAAGAAAATGAAAATAAACGATGAAATCGATTAAGAAAGAAAGAAAGAAAGAAAGAAAGAAAGAAAGAAAGAAAGAAAGAAAGAAAGAAAGGCAAGAAGGAAGAATTAGATGTGAAGGTAAAGAAAGATAAAAGTAGAAAAATGAAAATAAATGATAAAATCGAATGAGAAAGAAAATAGAAAGAAAGAAAAAAAGAAACGAAGGAAGGAAGAAAGAAAGAAAGAAAGATAGAAAGAAAAAAGAAGAAAGAAAAAGATTTGAATGTAAAGAAAGATAAAAGAAGAAAAATGAAAATAAATGATAAAATCGAATGAGAAAGAAAGAAAGAAAGAAACGAACAAACAAACAAAGGCAGAAAGAAAGAATTACATTTGAAGGTAAAGATCGATTAAGAGAGAAAAAAAAACAATGAAAATACGAAAGTTTTTGAATGAGAAATAAAGAAAGAAATTATCCATAAAGGCAAAATATGAGCTAAAAAAAGAAGAAAAATATAAGACAGGATAAATATATTAAAGAAAAAAATGTAGGTTTGGTTTGCTTTGCTTTGCTTTGCTATATAAACCTCAAAGTGTTATTTAATGCCAACAAAAGATTTTTTGGGTCTAGTTTGGTTTGATTTGGTTTACTCAATGGGTTATTTAATGCCGACAAGATTTTTATTGCTGGTAATATTTCTTACAGAAATGTATTATTGGTTAAAATTTTCCTTCAAAAATGTATTGCTGGTATTAAAACCTGTTTTTACACTTTCACAGCGTTTTGACCCAAGTTTGGGGGTTAACTATTTGCCCATACCTGGTACCCTAACAGGTACTAACACCCGGGGTCAGGCTGGATCTAGGAACACCAGAAATTAAGAGGTGTTTCCACGCTCTTCAAAACCTCCTGATCAAAAGCCTTGCTGCCGAATGTAATATATCATCATACCCAGGACGCGAAAAAAAGTATAGTGTTAAATAAATAAACAGATGAAGAAAGAAAGAACGAAGGAAAGAAGAACATATGAAATAAATCTGAAGATAAACATAGAATAAAGAATAAAAAATGATAAAACGAAAAATTTGAACGAGAAATAAATAAATAAGTAAATAAATAAAAATAAATTCGATTTGAAGGCAAAGATTGAAAAAAAGAGAAAAGTTGAACGAAAGTACGAAGAATTTTGAATGTGAAAGAAAGAAATAAAAAAGAAAATTGTCGACAAAGCCAGAATAAACGATAAAAAGAATGAAAAATTTGAGAAAGTAAAAAAGAAAGAAATAATTAGATTTGAAGGAAAAGTTCGATAAAAAGAGAGAAAAACGAATGAAAAGAAGAACAAGTTTGAGAAAAAAAAAGAAAGAAAATTAGAAGTCTGACACCAACGACCAAATAAAAATTAAAAAGAATGAAAGAATGAAAACGTCCGAGAAAGAAAGAAAGAATTATATTTGAAGGCAAAGTTAAATGATAAAAAACGAATCAAAATACGAAAAAGTTTGAATGAGAATGTAAGAAAAAAAAAAGAAAATTGACGCAAAGACAGAATAAAGGATAAAAAACAATGAAAGAATGAAAAAAATCCGAAAAAGAAAGAAATAAAGAAAGAAATATTTAAATTCGAAGGCAAAATTCGATTAAAAGAGAAAAAATGAAAGAATGAAAATATGAAAAATTTTGAATGAGAAAGAAAGAAAGACAGAAAGACGTGTGACACAAAAGACCAAATAAAATGTAAAAAAAATGAAAGAAAGAAAAAGTCTGAAAAATAAAGAAATATTTAGATTTTAAAGCAAAGTTCAATTAAAAGGAAAAAAACGAATGAAAACACGAAAAATTTTGAATAAGAAAGAAAGAAAGAAAGAAAGAAAGAAGTGTGACAGAAAAGACCAAATAAAATGTAAAAAAATGAAAGAATGAAAAAGTCTGAAAAAAAAAAATTAATATTAAGATTTGAAGGCAAAGTTCGATTAAAAAAGAAAAAAAACAAATGAAAGTACGAAAAAGTTTGAATGAGAAAGAAAGAAATAAAAAAAATATATTTGACGTAAAGACAGAATAACACATAAAAAAAATGAAAGAATGAAAAAGTCTGAAAAATAAAGAAATATTTAGATTTGAAAGCAAAGTTCATTTAAAAGGAAAAAAACCAATGAAAATACGAAAAAGTTTGAATGGGAAAGAAAGAAAAAAGAAAGAAAGAAAGAAAGGTAGAAATGTGACACCAAAGACCGAATAAAAGGTAAAAAGAATGAAAGACTGAAAAAGTATGAGAAAGAAAGAATGAAAGAATGAATTATATTTGAAGGCAAAGATCGATTAAAAGAGAAAAAAATGAGAAACAAAGAAAAAAAGGTAGAAATGTGACACCAAAGACCGAATAAAAAATAAAAAGAATGAAAGAATGAAAAAGTTTGAGAAAGAAAGAAAGAATGAATTATATTTGAAGGCAAAGATCGATTAAAAGAGAAAAAAAAAACGAATGAAAATCCGAAAAAGTTTGGATGAAAAAGCAAGAAATCTGACAGCAATGACGGAATAAAGAGTAAAAATAATGAGAGAAAGAAAAACTCTAAGAAAGAAAGAAAGAAAGAAAGAAAGAAAAAAAAGAAAGAAAGAAATCAGCTTTAAAGAAGCACAATACCCACCGCAACTCCCAGGCCCAAGTGACCACTTTCTTTCCATTCGTAGTATTTATTTAATTAGTACCCGCCCATTAACGTTGTAATTTGATTTCTTTGGAGAAGAAAAGCGAATCAGTTTTGGCCACTGTTGGATTTCCCGCCTCATGGTTGGCTGAGAGGAGATTGTTCCAGGTTTTGTGATCTCATAGGAAATGTATTTTACAAACACAGAAACGTCAAGCTGACGATACAGAAAAAATAGTGGAATGGATGTTCGGTAGGATTTCAGAAAATAATCACGTGAAAAGACACAAAGGCAATCAAATATTGGGACATTCTTCGCAGTCTATTTTCGATACTCCTGCTTCAGGATTAGTATTGTAATTCTTAAAACAATAATCCATACACATATTAAAAATATCCGGCAGCCTTTTCGAAAGACTAAAATGGTTAAATATGCTAGATAAACTCATGACTAGTTTCGATATTAAATTCCTGTAAATAAATGGCTAATATCCTAGGAATTTTTCCCGTTTGCGCGCGCGCATGTGTATGCGTATGTGTGTGTGTGTGTGTGTGTGTGTGTGTGTGTGTGTGTGTGTGTGTGTGTGTGTGTGTGTGCTTGATAGTGAGAATGGAATGGACAAAGCACAAATCTCGAAATAACTGTTCAACAGCTTTTATTTGTGGTTGAAAGAGAGTGCAAAATAGTGGTATGTTGCGGGGAAAATAAGTTCGGCTTCCCTCGAGTAGATGTTTCGTATAGAGAGATTTCGCTTGTTCCCACGAGGAACGATAAATCTCAGAGTGAAACTACTACGACTGGTACGTGTCTTTTGTAGCAAGGACTTTGAGTAATTACTTCGGGTAGGTGTCTCGAAGTCAGATTTCTCCACTTGGTCCCACGAGGACCGAGAAATCTGAAGTCAAGCTTGCCAGGACAGGTTTGGTTTGTTTTACGCCATATCAACTTCAATGGGTTATTAATGCCGACAAAATTTTTATTATCTCTATATTTCTGAGATGAGGTATTATGTACATTATTTACATTAATCGGACTATTGTATTCATCTTTGTCACCATATTTATTACAACGTTTCGGCTTTTGTACGCTCCGGCCTTCTTCAGGTGGTTGGAATGTCGAACTGAACCCTTTATTTCGCGCACTGGTGTAGACTGTTCTAGTTTTACGTGTCATGTTTTAATGGATGTCAGTTATCAGTTATCTCTTGCTAATTCCCGTCTCCAACTTCTCCACTGCCTTAACCGGGTATTGAACTCACACGCTTTGGGTCCTGTCACTGGATATAACTAACGCCTTTATTCACTGTGCTCCTATTTTTTTTTTTTGAAAAATATATTGCTGGTAATAATTTTTTATAACGTATTTCTGGTATTAAAACCTATTTTTACACTTTCATAGTATTTTGACCCAAGTTTGAGTGTTAACTATTACCAATAGCTGGGACCCTAACAGGTGTTACCACCCCCGGTCAGGGTGGGTCTGGGAACACCAGCAATTTGAGAGGTGGTTCCACGCTCCTCAAAACGTCCTGAACAGAGTCCTTGCTGTTGGGCGTAGTTTACCGCCTTATTTAGGACGCGGGTGTAGTTTATCGTTATACCCAGGACGGTCCAAGACAAGGCCACATGTCTTCTTCAGTAAGCGTTGAGATTAGCTCTTCAAACTGGCTGCTGAAAAGGAAAAATGGAAAAGGGACGTAATATGTCTCGGTCAGTGTCTTTATGATTTTTGCGGCTTCCGGTTGTACCCTGCTGATAACTCCTATTGCTGCTGCCGAATCAAGCAAATACAGAATCCCCCGCACGCCACAATAGCCAAGAAGAGAGATGGTTTCTATCAAAACACGCAAAAAGAAAATCCAACCTCCCGAGAGAAAAACTCATGACGATGTGTCGACTTATTACGAATGGTTGTTTTTATTTATTTATTTATTTTTATTTATTTATTTATTTGCAATAAGGTTCACCTAGTACAATACTAAAGAAACTATAGATGATAACTTGAAGGTGGAATTTAGTCTATCTCCTGTAATAATTGTCACAAAAATACATCGGAGAAAACGCAATAAAAGTTTTTATGAACACAAAAGGAACATTTTGTGACCGTGTGTGTGTGTTTGTGTGTGTGTGTGTTTGTGTGTGTGTGTTATATATTTCTGTACCATACGAGCAAGAAAATTTTTTAAGAATGAAAGGAAAATAGCTGACTAAAAAAAATGATGATATGAATAATAATAATAATAATAGCATTAATTCCCTTTCACTTAACGACATGACAGAATTTACTTCACTTAGCGCCTTCCGTAGTTTTATTCTGCATACAATCGAAATATTTTTCAAATATTTTAGAACGCCTTCTTCTCCATTTACGAAACAGAACTTAGAATATAAACCCCAGGAAATTATGTTAACGTTTTTGCCATTAAAAATGGATAATGAATAGGCCGAAAGAGCTTAGGACAATAATCACTCCGGACTTAGAAATATAGATAGATAGATCAGATTGAAATAGATAGATCTGAACACTAGGATAGCGAACATTGAGCAAGATATATAGATCCGATTGAAGTATCAGGTCATCCCATAAGTTCCGTCCGAATTTTAACTTTTTGTTAAAATGAACGAAATTTAAAGAGTATTTTATAATGTCTAATGGAGCTGAACATTATCTTTATGTTTAGTTGCATTTAAACGGATCAAATTTTATTTAAGAGAACAATAAAATTAAATTTTGTTTGATTAAAACCCTGCTAACATGGAAGTACCCAAGAATCATTTGAGGCACATAATGCTTTATGAGTTCAAGAAAGGAAACTCAGCAGCCGAAGCGGCTAAAAACATTCACTCAGTTTATGGAGAGGAATGTGTGAATGAAAGAACTTGCAGAAGATGGTTTGTAAAATTCAGAGGTGGAGATTTCACCCTTGAAGATGAAGATCGAACCGGACGTCCAGTTGAGAAAAGCTTCTTGAAGCAGCCCTTGAAGAAAATCCTGCTTTATCAGTTGAGGAATTGGCAGTGGTTCTCAGTTCAAACCATACAACAGTTCATCGTCATCTTCAACAACTTGGAAAAGTTCCTAAACTTGGAAAATGGGTGCCTCATGAATTGTTTGAAAACAACCTCAAATCCCGAGTTGACATCTGCTCTTCTCTCCATTCTCGCCAACTTGTTTCACCTTTTTTGGATAGACTTGTGACTTGCGATGAAACATGGATCTTTTATCGAAATGTTAAGCGTCGTAGACAGTGGCTTGGTAAAGGGGAAGGACCCCAGCCACAGCCGAGAAGGGAACTTCATGGGCAAAATTTTCTTCTTTCAATCTGGTGGGATCGCCAAGGAATAATCCACTTTGAATTCTTACCACCTAATGCAACAATTAATGCTCAAATATACTGTCGCCAATTAAAGCGTTTGCACCAAGCTTTGAGGAAAAAAAGACCTACTCTAGTGAATCGAAAAGTGGTGATGTTTCATCAGGAGAATGCGTGACCTCACACAGCAAAAATCACGTTACAAAAGATCGAAGAACTTGGTTGGGAGAAAATTCCTCATCCACCTTATTCTCCCGATCTTGCTCCTTCAGACTACCATTTGTTTCGTAGCTTACAGAATAATTTGGAAGAAACAGCTTTTGTTACACAGGAAGAGGTTAAACCTGACATTTGTGAGTTCTTCGAATCAAAGTCAAAAGAATTTTACAGTAATGGAATTAGTAAGCTTGTTAATAGACGAAAGGAAGTCATAGATAACCAGGAAAAGTACATTGTTGATTGAATCTGTAATTAAATGTAACATTTGGTCACTTGTTTTCTTTATTCAAAATTCGGACAGAACTTATGGGATGACTTGATATACATCTATAAAAGTGGTCACCGAATTATGACCTGATAGATTTGAACATTAACATCAGTCAGTTATGTGACATTTGTGACCATGACTTTTTAGGGACATGACTGACGAGGTATTTTTTCCGGCAGTAGGTTGCCATTTCTTTCTACGGTAGACCAGTTGCCATCAAAGAATATAGAACCCAGTCTGTCCTGATATTTACTCATAGCTGGGGGGAGAAGAAAAGGATTCATACCTTTCCCAGGGTGCTAGCATGTAAGTGAATGTAATGGATTCGACTGGAATTCGAACTCAGCTCTCCGATTACTCAATCCGAGCCGCTATCCATTAATCCACCGTGAAGATTAAGGTAGTTATTGTGATAGATCTTAACATTGAACAAAATAGATATATCCGATTGAAATATATATATATATATATAAAAAAGAAGAGGGGTGCCGCAAACGTTTTTGGTTGTAATGTGGATTTATTGAGAAAAAATATTATACTTTGTTTTACATAATTTCACGACACGTGTTTCTGGTCTGGTCTCGCAACCGTCTTCAGGTGAAAGTGGAGATTTTTACATATTATTAAAAATAATTAATTTTTCTTCATGTTCAATGTGGAATATTCTCGATATGAGACATTCTGTTTGTGTGTTGGCAATCCGAATTTTCTTTCTAGAATTGTCAAGCTTGGGAAATATGTGTGTATATGTGTGTGTGTACTGACTACTTGTGGTGGGATAGTGTGTATGTGCGTATGTGTGTGTATGCGTGTATAAGTACAAATAAGTTTACGAATTCCTCGTAGTAAGGAAATATACGCACGCATATATACACGCATGCTGACAGGAACACGCCAAAATAGAAACAAATCCAAGAGCACATAGAGGTCACTAAAACATTAAAAGATTAAATGCCGATAAGTACTCGCTGGACAAACCTTAATTGTTTTATGACCCTTCACGCAGAACTCTTCATTGAGAAAGAAAATTCGGATTGCCAACACACAAACAGAATGTCTCATATCGAGAATATTCCACATTGAACATGAAGAAAAATTAATTATTTTTAATAATATGTAAAAATCTCCACTTTCACCTGAAGACGGTTGCGAGACCAGACCAGAAACACGTGTCGTGAAATTATGTAAAACAAAGTATAATATTTTTCTCAATAAATCCACATTACAACCAAAAACGTTTGCGGCACCCCTCTTCTTTTTTAATATACATACTTTTCTCTCGTTGGAACCACTACAATATATTTATATATTATATATATATATATATATATATATATATATATATATATATATATTAACATAAATAGATAGATAGATTTCTTCATTGAGCAAGATAGATCAAATTGTAGTAGATAGATTGATCCGCTTGAAGTAGATAGATAGATAGATAGATAGATCTGATCATTAGGATAGAGAGATAGATCTATACAGTAAGCAAGATAGATAGATTCGATTAATATATATATACAGTGAGGTGAAACAAGTATTTGGACAGTAAGAGAATGGATTTAGAATCCTATATTGAAAAAAAAAGCATTATCTAAAGCTCACAATATATTCGTAAAACAATTACAAATGCAAATAAACAGCAAAACTAAATTATTTGACACTTATATATATTTTATATACAAATTATTAAAACAGGCAGTGAAAAAAGTATTTGGACAGTTCCGTAATTATGTTTAAAATTAATGTTTTGAGTATATTTCATTCTCGAATGTGTTAGAATTTTATGGAATAGTCTAGAACGTGCATTATTTAAAGGTGTTAGCTATCTTGATGATCAGTTCATCCCAAGACGTCGCACTAACAGTACTCCAGGATGCCAAAGCAAAGAGAGCTGTCGAATGATCTTAAAGATCAAATTATTTCTGCATATAAAGAAAAAAATAGCTATCGTCAGATTTCTAAAGTCCTATGTTTACCTGTGAGCATTGTTGGGTGCATAATTAAGAAATGGAAAGCCTTCAATACTCATGAAAATATGCCAAGAACAGGTGCACCGCGCAAAATATCACAAAAATGTTCACGGAAAATAGTACGGCGAGTAAAAAAAGGACCCTTTTGTGACTCGGAGAGAACTTCAAAAAGATCTCAGCAATGCAGGAACTCAGGTATGCAAGAGGACCATAACTTCTGAACTTCACCGACAGCAATTATAATCTGGCTCTCATCGCAAAACCCCATTGCTAAAAAAACGTCATTTAAAATCCAGACTTGAATTTGCCAAAACTAATTTACAAAAGCATGATGACTATTATAAGCAAATTCTATGGTCTGATGAAAGCAAGATTGAACTTTATGGCCACAACAATGCTACCCATGTTTGGAGAAAGGATGGAACAGCCTTCAATCAAAAGAACACCATCCCAACTCTGAAGCACAGAGGCGGTAGCATTATGGTTTGGGGATGCCTTTGCATATAATGGTACGGGACAACTGAAAATTATCGAGGGCACAATGAATGCAGCCAAATATATTCAGATTTTAGAAGATTGCTTGCAGTCATCAGTTGAGAAATTAGAACTTAGACCAGATTGGGTTTTTCAACAGGACAATGATGCGAAACATACAGCCAAATCAACACGTGCATGGCTTCAAAACAATAACATCAACGTGTTGACATGGCCCAGCCAATCGCCGGACATGACTCCAATAGAGAATCTTTGGAGAACACTGAAGAATCAGATTCGTGAAAGGCGACCAAAGAACCTCAGGGAATTGAAAGTTTTTGCAGAAGAAGAGTGGGCTAAAATGTCCGCCACATCATGACAGGCACTTGTAGAAAGCTACAGTAGCAGACTGAGAGCTGTGGATGCAAATGAAGGAGAAGCAACTAAATATTAAACACATTTAAAGCATAATTTATATTCTGTCTAAATATTAGGTTGGTGCAAAAATAATGACGTAATAATGTCGTTTTTTGAGGTTAAAAAATACGTCACAAAACGACATTATTACGTCATTATTTTGCACCAACCTAATACTATTTTCACTACCTGTTTTAATAATTTGTATATAAAATATATATACGTGTCAAATAATTTATTTTTGCTGTTTATTTGCATTTATAATTGTTTTACGAATATATTGTGACCTTTAGAAAATGATTTTCTTTCAATATATGATTCTAAATCCATTTTTTACTGTTCAAATTTCACCTCACTATATATATATATATATATATATATATATATATATATATATATAGAAAAAAGTTTCAAATTGAAAATTATAATGTTTTATTTTATGAAAGTATTTATTTATTTATATATATATTTGATATTTCAAATTGTCCTCAATTTTTCATCAGAAATAACTGTTTGTTACAAATAAATTAAAATTACTGTTTGTTAGCAAGTAGCGTCCTTCGCGAGACGCGGACGTCACGTGATATGAAACGTCACTGTTCGGATATTCCTAACTTAAATCTAACTTTCTAAATATTTAAAACAATTTTTTACTATATCTAAAAAAAAAAATTGCTTAACTATTGAAATATTTATAAAGATTTAAAACACCTAAGTCCCTATTCAACCCTAGTTTATGTGTATTTATATATATATGTGGACATTAACATAGACAGATCTCAACATTGAGCAAGATAGATGGATAGAGAGATCAGATCAGATTGTAGTAGATAGATAGATAGATCTGATTAAAGTAGATAGATAGAAAGAGAGAAAGAAAGAGAGAGAGAGAGAAAGAGATCTGAACATTAAGCTAGATAGATACATATATACTTGAAATTATTTTTCTGCGTCCGATATCACTGGGATTTACTAATCGATAACAATTTATATGATTTGATACCAATCGTAATTTTAGGCATTTTGGAATATATTCCACGCGGATCAGGGTGTATGAAGAAAGGAAGAAAAAAAAAAGAGAAAAAGGTAAAATAGAATTTTTTTTTCCTTATTTGATCCGCTTTCACCAATTCCAACCAAAATCGATTCTCTCATAACGATTCTAAATGCACACGAAATGTGTATTTGATTCGATAAATCAATATTTCAAACCAATCAATACAATTACCAGGATGTTGCCAAAAATGGCGCCATATTCTCTTAATCCTTTCGGACGCAGCCGGCCTTGGGGTCGACAAGTCACGTTTGAGTCATTCGAAATTCCATAAACAGAAAGAGACTAGGAGTTTAGGATTCGTCCGAGACTAACCAAGTTTTCGGGACACTGATCGAAGACCTTTGCGGAATTCTTCCACGAGATCATATAGAGTTATCAATAGGGATTTTTCAAGTACGCAAACAGATCTGAACATTGAGCAAGATAGCTAGCTAGCTAGATAGATAGATAGATATCAAAAGACTGAGATAGATAGATATCAAAAGACTGAGACAGATAGATCTTAAAAGACTGAGATAGATAGAAAGAATTGAAGATGAAGGTATGTAGATCTGTACATTGAGAGAGAGAGAGATATGAACATTAAGATAGATAGATAAATCTGAACATTGAGCATATATCAAAAGACTGAGATAGATAGATCTGTACATTAAGATATATATACATATATTAAGTAATCATCGAGTCTAGAAGAAACCTCAACAGAATGCAGAAAGCACTGGACGGCCGTTTCGTCCTATATTTGGGACTCATCAGCAGTGCGCATCCACTACCGAGAATTGAAACCCTGACAGCTACATTGAGAGGCAAACGTCATACCAACTGTACTAACGGGACTCGGTGACGAAGAGGTAGCGAATTAGACTCGCTATTGCGGAGGCACAGTCATATGGATAAGGGAACTTGGATTTCTTGGATGGCAACTTATCTGTCCTGCTATTTACCCATAGCTGGGGGAGAGAAGAAGAGGATTCATACCTTTCGTAAGGGAATTAGCACGTAAGTGAATGTAATGGATTCGACTGGAATTCGAACTCGGCCCTCCGATTCCTCAATCCGAGCCGCTATTCATTACTTAGGATGTGGTGTAATGAATGTCGGTCCCGAATGACAAAATCAGAGAGCAGTGTTCGAATTCCAGTCGGGGTTGTTGCATTCATTTACACACAAATACCCTTGGTATAGTTATGGTTTTGAATAGCAGGGCAGGCTGGGTCCTATAGCATTGGTTGGCAAACCAGTCTACAAAAAGAAAAGACCGCTTACTGCGGGAATATCTTCTGTCTAGTGACTCGAAAGAGACATAATAGCGGAAGCGTGCATCACGTGTGTCACTTGACTGACTGGCTACCCCCGTATCAGCTCTCCATGTCCCAGTGGATAGAGGCGTCTGTTAGACTAAACCCAAAGTGTTGTGAGTTCAGTAGCAGTGGTGAACCCAAAAACTTGGAGAGTTAAGTTAAAAGGGAAATAATTGAGACATCCGGAAGAGGTATGGAACGAGAAATTAGAACAATTCCCTACCACCAGCGGACGAAATAAGGGTTCGTTTCGAAATGCCAATCACCTGAAGAAGGCCGGAGCGTACATGGGCCGTGACGTTGTGAATATGACAATGAAGATGAGGATAACATAATTTAAATAATTCAAATAATCTCGTTTCAATTCATTGGAATCAAGTCGGGACTAACGTAAAACTATTATATTGCTATTCTAAACAGATTTCTTAACTAATTTAGAAATAAATTTTGGACCATTGTCAGGAAAAAAAGTTCCAATTGTGCTTCCACAGAAGTAGATTTGGTATTAATGGTAAAGTTATAATTTTGAATAGCAGGACATACTTGTTCATATAGCCTTGATTGGCAAACCAGTCTACCACAGAAGAAACGACAGCTTACTGCGGGAATATCTTCTACCTAGTGAATAGAAAGATACATAATAGTCTAAGCGTGTATCATGTATGTCACTTGACTGACTACCTGACTCTCTGCATATCACCTCCCCAAAACAAGATGACTGGCGTCTGGCAGCTGATCTCTCCCGCTGATCTCACTAATCACCCAGCGAAGGAAAAACTAGTTTCCAACTTTCAGCACCTCATAAACCAAAATCTAGCAGCCATTTCTTTAGCGCCGAGTAGACCCTATATTTTATCTAATCACAATAAATGGTTGTATTCTCAAAGAGGTATCTTTTTTTGAGGATGTGCAGTCAGTGTGAAGGATAATGGCCCTGAAGGAAAACTCGGAAAGCCGATTTCGAATTCCAGTCGTATTCGCTGCTTTCACTTACAGCGAAATACCATTGAAAAAGGTAAAAAACAAAATCCATACTCACCCCAGCAATGATGGTGCTGATTCCGAAAATGACCTTAGTTAAATATTCTTTTCTTGCTGATAGATTTTTTTTGACTCCTGTGGCAGTGGAGACTTCAGGGGTTATTGGCCCTCGTTCGATGGCGTTCCTTCGGAGGATTGGCGCGATTGCGTCTCGATTAATGGACGAGTCTCGCGAAACGGAGTGGCTCTTGCAGCGTGTCTCACTGGCGATGGTTCGAGGTAATGCTTTCTCCATCATTGCGGTTGGCAGAGGATGGCAAAAAATGTTTATCGTTACTTTGTTCAAACTTTTTTTTTTCATAGACAATGTATTTCTTGTTTTTCCTGCTTCGCTACTGTTTTTGCTGTAGTGAAATTGTTTTTTTTTTGTTTTTTTTAAAAAGATCAATTTACGATCTTGGCTGATCGCAAAATGTAGTTAATAAAAGTCGTAGAAATCCATGAATTATCAAATAGGCCGAGCAAATTATGTCGGCCAACTGAAAAAACTATTTTTTATAAGATATTAGTGTTTTTGCGTCAAAAATTTTAAAACAGATGTACCGAAGTTTTCCATTTTATCGGCAACGTTCAAATAAACAGATAAACTTTATCAGTAATACACTTTAGTAAACCTGATAATTAAGGTGACATCAAAAAAAAAATGAAACTCTAAAATCTTCTGTTTGATATTCATAAATTTATCCCATCACTTTTATTTCTTCACTACGGAAGGAAACCACGCACATTGAGAGCATTTTGTTTTCAGAGTTGGAAAGAAACTCCAACTAAAGACATCCCAATTGAATGCACCTATTCCATTGTACATGATACTGCTACAATATCAAAAGGGACTTAAATAACATTGAACATGACAGACAATCAAGAAAGAGAAAATTTTTACTATAGTTCTTATGTTCACGAAGGTTTTATTTCTGCTGTTAATTTATTAAATGATTTGATGAAAATACTTGTTGGTCATGGTATATTTAATCGTGTTATTTTGAAAGACTTACGGTCTGATTGTTATTGCAAAAATAGTATTTCTCGATAAGCTGACCAATATTTGTTGGTAAAATACGAAATGTGAGGTTTCTACTATTTTGAGTAATATTGTCCGCTGGTAATATCATATATACAGTAAACATGAAAAAAATGATTTTTTTTTTTACCAAAGACGAGGCATCTCTGTACAGTAAAAACGGTAGCTAACCAAGAAAAAGTAAGGCCATTTTCAGATTCAGCGCCCCACCCCTCAAATTAGCTGAAAAAATAGGTTTGGTGTCTCGACAACATTTCGTTTTTTTTTTGTTTTTTTTTTTTTTGACCAGTGTAATCAATCATCAATCAATCCTACTGAGACCTAAACTCATCGATCCTATATGATAAAACGAGAAGCAGGAAAATTTCATTGGAAACAAATTGTACATTCATTTTTAGCTATAATCTTTTCTAATCTTTTTTCAGTAATCTTTTTACTAAAATAGCAAAAACCCGACAAGGATCTGTCTATATTTCTGAGATGAGGTATTATGTACACTATTTACATTATTCGGACCATAGTCCTCATCTTTGTCGCCATATTTATTACAACGTTTCGGCCTTTCAGTATCTGTCTAGATTTCTGAGATGAGGTATTATGTACACTATTTACATTATTCGGACCATGGTCCTCATCTTTGTCGCCATATTTATTACAACGTTTCGGCCTTTCAGTATCTGTCTATATTTCAGAGATGAGGATGTACACTATTTGCATTATTCGGACCAATGTCCTCATCTTTGTCGCCATATTTATTACAACGTTTCGGCCTTTCAGTATCTGTCTATATTTCTGAGATGAGGTATTATGTACATTATTTACATTATTCGGACCATTGTCCTCATCTTTGTCGCCATATTTATTACAACGTTTCGGCCTTTCAGTATCTGTCTATATTTCTGAGATGAGGTATTATGTACACTATTTACATTATTCGGACCATTGTCCTCATCTTTGTCGCCATATTTATTACAACGTTTCGGCCTTTCAGTATCTGTCTATATTTCTGAGATGAGGTATTATGTACACTATTTACATTATTCGGACCATTGTCTTCATTTTTGTCGCCATATTTATTACAACGTTTCGGCCTTTCAGTATCTGTCTATATTTCTGAGATGAGGTATTATGTACACTATTTACATTATTCGGACCATTGTGTTCATTTTTGTCACTATATTTATTACAACGTTTCGGCCTTTCAGTATCTGTCTAGATTTCTGAGATGAGGTATTATGTACACTATTTACATTATTCGGACCATGGTCCTCATCTTTGTCGCCATATTTATTACAACGTTTCGGCCTTTCAGTATCTGTCTATATTTCCGAGATGTGGTATTATGTACACTATTTACATTATTCTGACTATTGTACTCATCTTTGTCGCTATATTAATTACAACGTTTCGGCCTTTCATTATCTGTCTATATTTCTGAGATGAGGTATTATTTACACTATTTACATTATTCGGACCATTGTCCTAATCTTTGTTGCCATATTTATTACAACGTTTCGGCCTTTCAGTATCTATCTATATTCCTGTGATGAGGTATTATGTACACTATTTACATTATTCGGACCATTCTCCTAATCTTTGTTGCAATATTTATTACAACGTTTCGGCCGTTGTACGTCCCAAACTTCTTCAGGTGGCTGGAATGTCGAACTGAACTCTTTATTTCGCTCACTGGGGTAGACTGTTCTAGTTCCACGTAATACGTTTAATGGATGTCAATTATCAGTTATCTCCTGTTAATTCCCCTCTTCAAGTTCTCTACTGCCTCAACGGGGTATTGAACTCACATTCTTTGGGTCCTGTCACTTTATCCACTGTGCCAAGGACACATGGCACAGTGGATAAAGGCGTTGGTTAGATCCAGTGACAGGACCCAAATAGTGTGAGTTCAATGCCCGGTTAAGGTAGTGGAGAACTTGGAGAGGGGAATTAACAGGAGATAAGTTCCGAATAATGTAAATAGCGACAGGGATAGTTTACCAAATTTTTGTGCATAATGTCGCTGCACATCAATAAATGTTCTTGCACTTATATGTCTTTGCAATATCTGTCTATATCTCTGAGATCAGGTGTTATGATTATTTACATTATTTACATTATTCGGACTGTTATCCTCATCTTCATTGCCATATTCATAACGTTTCGACCGTTGTTCGCTCTTCAGAGGATTGGCCTTTCAAACCAAACCCTTTATTTCATCCACCGGAGTAGATTGTTTTAGTTCCACATGCCATGCCTCTACCGGCTGTTTCAGTTATTTCTCTCTTAACTCAACTCTCCATGGCCGAGTGGATAAAGGCATTAGATCCAGTGACTCGACCCAAAGAGTTGTGAGTTCAATACCAGGTCACAGCAGTGGTGGACCAAAAAACTTGGAGACTTGGGCAAACTCAGTCCGGAGTTTCAGATTTTAAAACATTAATAATTTTAGGAGATATTAAGGATTTACAGATACAAGTCCTATTAATTATTCAATAGGGAAGAAGTAGATTCGTTCTTTTCCGAAGGGTATGTACGCGTAAATAAATATAACGAACCCGACTGGAATTGGAACACGGCTCTTCGATCTTCAATTCCGGGCAGTTTTCCATTGCACCACGCTCACATCTAAGCATACAGCTACTTGTATTCCAGAGCGGTTTGACAATCTACGTACTGACCAGGCTCGACATTGCTTTAAAGAACTACAGGAATATAAGAAAGACGGGAAATTGTGGAGATCCAGAACTGCCAACGAAATGGCGTGGCGTTGCGTGGCATGGCCCATGGAAGAAGAAGAAGAAGAAGAAGAAGATAACAACAAAAACAACAACATTCAAAAACAGCAACAACGATTCAAGAAGAGGGTAATTGCAATGATTTTATCATTAAAACAATATTTGGAATGAAACTGTTTTGAAAATAGTTCGCTTCAGTGATACATTTAAAATAGATTAGAAATTAAACAAAAGTCACAATAAAAGTCAGTAGGCTTTTTAAAAGCGTATGCAAATTTCCCGATGATCTTTATTACGTTCGTGTTTACATGAAAAAGCAATTATTTCTTGCGAAATATATTTAAAATGAAAATCATCCTTCGCCAGAAACAAACGTAAACAAACACACACGTATACACACACGCTTATATATATATATATATATATATATATATATATATATATATATATATATATGTGTGTGTGTGTGTGTGTGTGTGTTTCACTAATGCTGACTGACATAGTTTGCGTTTTCTTTCTTATTATTATTGCTTCCATTATTATTAGTCTCATATATATATATATATATATATATATATATATATATGACGATATTCGCTCCCAAAAAGAAACTAATTCGGTCGAGCACTGTAGGGAGAAAGCGCGAATTTGTAAACACTGACTATTACTGATAATAATGCAAGACTCTACCAACCGATTGAGTTCTCTAGGTCACTGACGTGTGTAAACAAATAAATACGAAAAAATTCGCCTTTCTCTCTGCCGGGCGCTGACAACCTAGGAGTTAGAATAAATAGGCCGGGCTTCGGTCCCAGCTTAAGCGATCGGATGTCAATCATACTGATGAGCTGTGATGCACGGAAACAGTCTGTCTGTGGATGACGGTTCTATTCCTGTTTAAAACTTATTTAAGCGGTATTGTCCAGCCTCTTAAATGAGTACAACTGAACCCAAGTAAATTATTAAAGATGATTTAAAAACAAACTTATCCCTACTTCCGTTTCCAAAATGGACCCTTCTATGTCCCCACGCCTATCACCTCTGTCACCTTATATCAATCTGAAACTGAAAGATAAAAATATTTAAGTAAATGCTCTGTTTATAATAAACAGTATTAACGACATTTACCGGCCAGAATGTTCGAGAAAATTTCATAGAAAATATGCGTCCACCGACAGGAATAGAACCTATATTTTACACGGAATCGTCATATAGTTTGACGTGCTTTAGCCATATATATATATATATATATATATATATATATATATATATATATATAGATAGATAGATAGATAGATAGATAGATATAGATAGATTGTGTATTTGGGCAGCAATCTCACTTTTATACAATTTTCATTAAAATCGACTGACAACGAACTACGATTAAGCATTTTAATTTTTTCTTGACTGAGCATAAAGCATGTAAAAACAATCTAAATATTTTATATATCGAAGCTTTCGGCTAGTCTTTTAGCCTCATACACACAAACACACACACAACATACATACATTATATATATATATATATATATATATAGCAGTGTTTTTAATTTTTTAATTTCCTGTTACAGTCACTATATTGTAGCCGTCATAGTTGATATTATTCATTCGTTTGTTTCTCTAACGACATATCAACACCTTTATGGGTCATTTAATGCCAAAATGTCACTTTCTTGGGAGCTTGAGTGGATCTTTTCTTTCTAAAAATATATATTTTTGGTAATTTTATCCTGTTTTTTTTTTTATAAAAAAAAATTGTCTTTGGTAATATATTTATTTATTTTAAATTTATACTTTCATTTTTTTAATTTTTTTTTTTTTTTAATTTGGGGGTTCACTGTTTGCTCATAGCTGGGACCCTAACAGGATGAATCCGAAAACACCAGTAATTATGAGGTGGTTCCACGCACCTCATAACCTCCTGATCAGAGGCCTTGCTGCTGGACGTAGTTTATCGTCATACCCAGCACATGACATTAATGATGTTTAGCTCTTTTTTTATTATGAATGCTTTCATTATTTTTAGGAGATGAGGCTATTATGGTTTTATTTTCCTCAAGTTTTTTGCCGAAGAAGTTTGTTATATCTGCTTGTTTGTTTAGATTGATCCTAATAGTGCTATGACCCGAGCGATGTAAAGTGAGTTTTCTCGATAAGCATGTAGTTGTACGTCCAATATAATTCTTATTCTTAAATTTGCTTTGACCAGTAATGTGTTTCCTTAAACATTATGAAAATTCATATATAATATTATTTCACAGTAGTTTTGATCTTCCAGTTGAGTTATTATTATTGACCGTTTTTAAATTAGATAAGATGGGAATCTCTTCAGGGTTGAGCTGAGCAGCCATAAACATTCGATGACTTTGCAGACCTGCCTACTGTAGACCTTTTTCCATATCTGACACTCGAAAGATTTGAACGAGACTTGAACGTGACTTTCTCCTCGTTTACTCTGATCCGTCGCTTCAGCCTTGTGGCAGACCTGCGAATTTTAGCCCCAAACTGAATAAATACCCTGCAAGTACTTATGCCAGTTTCAGGATTATATATATATATATATATATATATATATATATATATATATATTGAAACT